TGCCGTTGAGCGCCGTGTACACCGGTTCGCCCTCTCGCATGCCATCGTAGGCCATCAGCTGTAGCCGAGTTAGACGCAGTGCATCCGGTGCATTGGGCAACGGAGCTTCATTCAGAGTTGGGCTGTCCTGGCCCTCCTGGCTGTCCTGACTATCATTTTCCTGCGACGATTCATCATCCAGTTTCGCTTGACTGCTGCCGGCATGCGTTCTGTATAGTATATAGACCTGGGCAATCTTTGCCGTGGCATAATAGCCCACAACAAACGATATTATCACTTGGGCAATGGGACTCTTCAGTAAAGGACGAATCGAGCGAATGGCCGCACATATATTCAAATTGGCTGGCGAAATCAATAGCTTAAAGGTGCGTTCGATATGGGTTAGCCAAGGAACTTACTAGCGTAATGGAAATTCGCCTGCAGCACCTTCAAAGGCGACATTCTATGGGGTAGTGTTTTCGATTCCGCCGATTACTTTATTTATATACATATAGTATATATATGGGAAAAAATATTTTTATATTGTGACACATCAAATTTTGTGAATTTTGTTATTGTTCGTGTCTGGCTTCTCGATGAGTCTTTTTGTATTCGAATGTCTTGAACGATTAACAAATACCCTGCAATTGCGAATGGGCGCATTCGTGTACTGCACTATCTATACTACTATATTATTATTTATTTTCAATTCTTCTCTCTCTCTGTCTGTGTATTTTATTTGTCTCTCTCCCCTTGACATTCACTCTGTTTCTATAAGTCTCTCCCAATCTTTTTGGCTCTCCCTCTCTTGTTGGTTGCCTCTATCTCTGTTTCACTCTGTCTCATTGTCTTTCACTCCTCTCTCCTTCCTCCCTACTTCACTCTCACTACCAATAAAATACAAAATTTCTTAAAGTTCACATATTAATGCAATATCAACTAATCGATATTTATCGATATATCATAAAAATGTAAGTTTCAAATAATATTCATATGTATAGGATAATCTCAATGTAGTTTAATCGCAATATTAAGTATATCCAGAATACCCAACATTGACAATTATGTTTCTACAGGGTATTTATATGAAAAAATATGAGAAAACAGCAAACAGTAAACGCCAAACGCCATTCAATGTAATTAATTTATTATAATATGGGCAACTTGATAGCACCTGGCGTGTGGCATACGCACACGCATACACAAACACGCACACGCTTACACACACGTCAACGTAATCCACAGGCTAATAATGCGCATACGTATAGCCAAGGCACTGCTCGGTTCATCTGCTGTTATGCCATCTGACAGTCTCATTTATAATATTCGCATTTCGGCAGCAATTTGCATTAACTTTATTGCCCATATGTGTGCGCATATGTAGCGAGGACTTAAAAACATTTTCGTGTTTGTAACTCATCTGGGCGTTTGCTGTCATTCCGTTTGCTGCCATGCAGTTGTCGACGATATTATAATTTTCTCTGAAGATATGGAATGAAGCGAAGGGAGCGGACTTTATATATTCCTGATACATTTGGGTAGTCAAATATATTTTTAATCATTTTTTTCTTGTTAAATGGTTTGTCGTTAGTGGAGCTGACTTGTTTGTTGTTTTAGAAAATATTATTAGTTTTTAGGCGGAAGAATTATTCGTTGATATTCTAATTTATTTATTTTTTACTTAATATTGCTGCATTATTCTTAATTTATTTATTTATAATCTTATATTATATGATTTATTTAGTATTTATTATTATTTTTTTATTCGATTTTTTTAATGTAATAAAGTCAAGCGTATTCAAGCTTCGGTTTGCCGTAAATCGACATTTTTTCATGTTTATGAAATTGGTTGTAATTGGACTTTAATATGACTTAAAATTCTCATAACAAATATTTTTGTCGGCTGTTGTGTATAAGTGTGTACACACAAACATACACATACATATATAGAGCGAAAATACCAGCATCAACAAATTGGCACACATACATACATATTTATAATGCCGCAGGGAAGATAAAAGAAGCTAGCTCGAAAAATTGGTATTTTGTTCGGCTAACGAATATTTGAGACCCTGCTTTAAACTACATTTTGTGAATAGTTGTATATTGTTATGTTGGGTGAATTTAATTTTGCCTGGATTGATTTTATAATTATGATTCTGTAAGCATATTAAATGTAAAACATACCAAGAATAATAATACTGCTTATTACATAATATATTCTCATTATTTAATGTTTCAATCCAACTTACTTCGAATAAGCTATATATAAGACATAAGCCAATATACGTTTAATCCTCGTAATCGTAGTTATGTTAACATGGATGATTTTCAAATAATCTGCTTCAATATGTGACTCATCTTGCGAGTAAGAAATACTATAATCCCATAGCGAAATTGTTGAACAGCTTGCATTGCATTATGCTGCAATTTAAATTTGCATAACGTTGATTTCGGTTGGAATTTAATGCACTCGTGGAGCAGCTACAGAAGAGCTTATATTACGTATACGCCGTCGCTTACGTCGATCACATGGCCCGAGGATTATTTGCGGCTGGAATGTTGATGGCACAATTGCAAAATGATTACAAAAGCGGATACCCTGTACATATTGAAATTGCAGGAAATATAATTGAAAATATTTTGAATTTTTATTATTTTTATTATCTATTATCTAAATATCTAAATATAAAAATATTTACAGGGTATTTTCAGCCAGCGCTACTTGACATGCCTGCTTCAATTTAATATAAAAACATATTTTGCATGCTGTTTAAATATAATTGCATTCGTTTTGTGCGCTGAATTCATAATTTAATTAAATTGTAAAAAATTTCATAAATTACTTTAGTTTAACGCAATCTTTTTTGCCAGCACGATTTAGGTTATTAATAAACTTTTCAATTGCCAGCAAACAGCGTGACAGCTGCTCGCATTAACTTTTTCTTTTCGTCTACAATGTTTGTTCATTTTTATTTTTTTTTCCTAGTGAGAGGCGTCCTTGTTGGGCTTTGTGCAATTCAGACGACGGAGGACTCATGCTGTGCCTATATTTCAATTAAATCGCTCTGTGGATTGTTTAATTGGGGTACGCAGCGAGGCGCTAGGTGGGGACACATGTAATAGATTAATATGTATCATAATAATAATGATTTTCTTTGTACATCTCGAGGTTCAATGACCTGTGTATCAAGTGTGTCGACTTCCAGCCACTGACAGGCGTTGACATGGCGATCCTTGTTGGTTGTCTGTACAGGATAGGGAAGCCACGCAAGTGTGGATGCTACCCCTCCCGCTTGGAGCAAATTAAGGGCCTATCTTAATTAAAAGCTGCTTTGCTAAAAATAAAAGCATAGCAACGACCTTTGAACTTAATATTTACTTAAAGCGCAAGCTGATTGGCTTCTATCATTTGCTTTTATGGACTTGTGTGATATTTTTTGATTTTTAAAATCTAAAAAAAAAAAAATAAAAATATATATCAAGATTTATATTAGTATATTTATAATCGCTAAGTAGTAAATACTTAGCTGCTTCAGATATGAAGTCCAAACTGAGAGACAGTTGTTTAAATAGACTCCAGTACTGATGTACATACATATACATATTGCAGTTGATTTTCATTTTCTCTAATCAGCCACGCAACTTTATTAAAGCCAATCAAATTCAGCAGCAACAGACCAACTCCACTTTGCCCTTTTCATAAAAACCATATAAATTACCCACGTAAAATAATGGCCGTAATAAATAAAAACAACGAGCAATAGGCCATTAATAAATGTAAAAAAGAAATTAAAAACCATTAAGAGTTTATAAATAATTTAACGCAAAGTGTCTCCCGTAGTAAACTGTGTTTTTTTCGTCCATCACTCGAGGCTCTCTGTCCACAGCATGCCGCAGCAGCTGATGCCTCGAACAGCTGGACGCAAATGTTTTGGGTAATTTGAATAATACTTTTTTGTTCGCTCTTGGCGAAATGGTCCAAAATTAAACCCAAAACAGAAGCGAGGATGCTGTGCGCATGTCCTGCCCCGAGATGTGCTCTCAGTTTTATGGCAAGCGAGAGCTTTCATCTAGATAATGACAGCATCCATTGCATCGAGGGCGATGCCGCTTCAGTAGCGGACCAGATTTCAAGCGTCACGGTTGGTCAGCGCTTAGCCTCGAATACCTTAGCTTAGGGGAAGCAAGCAGAAAGAGACAGCGACAGAGACAGAAACAGTAAAAGATATTCCTTGAGAGAGCATCGCGTCATGCAGTTCTAATTGTAAATTCAGAAAGCTGAAATTGTTTGCTTTTTGTAAGCTAAACAAAAAGTCACACTTAAATACTCATTCGGCAGCTCAGCTCGTGTATGTTGAAATTAATTTCACAAAATATGCAAATTAATTAAATGTGCTCACTGAATGTGTAATACAATGACAATGAAATATAAATAAACAAATTAGTAGTACCTTTACTAATATTATGAAGTGACTGTTGGCGAAATTTGTTCTTTTAATCATGATTATAAATGTGCTGAAATATGGAAATCACTTATATTGGAGAACTTCAAATGTTTAAATATAAAAAAATAATTAAATAATTATATTTAACTAAGTTTCGTGTATGAATGAAGCGCATAAGAATTACAGCAAAAGCATCCATATTTTTGGCAGAAAATTGTGAAAATGATAGCTGGGCATTTATTTAATAGTTGTGGCAATCAAAATGAAATTATATTACAAATCATAGTAAACGAAACATTAAAAATACAAAACAAATATAAATATTTAAATGCAGCAACGTTGATGTCTTTATATTATTTGTATTATATTGATTGATATTTTTATTTTAAAATAAAACAATATGTGCCTGCTCTCTATGAAAGAATTTATTTGAATTTCTTAGCAATGCTATTTAACTATTTCTAACACTTTTTATCCTTTCCATACATTTGAATCAATTTGTTTGGCTGACCGAAAAATGATATAATTTCAAAATATTTTTTAATTTTTAATATGAGAGCACTTAGCAATTACTTCTCTTTTTTATTTAGTATTTCTTAATGAACCCATAGCGCATGATTTATATGATTTTAAATATATTCTTTGATTTTAAATATATTCTTTGATCATTAAAAAAAAATTTGCCTTAGACTTACCAGCGTATAATTGTACTTCCTACAATTGCAATGCCCAGAAAGAGTCTTACTAATACATTAACATTAACATTCAATTATATACTCAAATATACTTTGATTATACAATATTCTTAATATTTCTGTTGTTTCTTGAGCTGGTTACAGAACCAACATGTAGTTTGCTGTTGGCCTTCTTTTTTTTTTGCCCCCAAAAATGTATTTTTGCCCAGCTCTACCCCCACTTAACCTCCTAATCGATATTTCTCTAATGGCTGAAGCTAAAAATAAATATCGGCTTTAGGATTCTAGCCAAAATAAACAGAAAATTACAAGCCTCAAAAATATATTATTATAAGTAAACAATATTTTTATTTCCTACATTTCTTATGTTAACATGTCTCTAAAGATCCTGTAAAAATAATTTTAATTTCCTTCACAATTTTCTCGTATTTTCTATTTTTATATATTTTTATCTGCAATATATTGTTAATAAAATTTCATATAACTTTTTGAAGCAATTTATTTATTTATCTAAAACATTTATTAAAAATATGTATGACTAGACTTGCATATTATGACCTATCAAAAGTCTTGTACGCCTCTAAGATGTTGAACATATTTTGAGTTACCCGCAGATAGTTTCGTTTGTAGGATTCTCCACTGAATTTCTATTCAACACCAGGTCGCATGTTTCGTAAAGTTTCGAACACAGCTCGAGTAAATTCTCGCAGAGTTATTTGCAGCCTTTTCCGGCAAGTTTCGCAGAACCTTCTTTTATTATTTAGTAGCTTCATAAAGTTCAACTTCGCAGCTTTTATACAACTCGTCATGTAGAATCGTAAGAAAGCGGCAAGCACCTTAAGTTCTTCCTCGAAAAGCTGAAACGCAGCGACCCACTTAATATGCGTCCCCTTTTCTAACTCTCTCTCTTTCTTTCTCTCTCTCTCTTGCTTGCTCTTAGCGGAAAAACGTTTTAAACTAGAAACTTACACTCGTCGCTCCTTCTCACTTCATCTCGCTCTCTCCATCTCTGTCTGGGTGTTGTGGCATCTTTGTGGTATAAAAATAAAGATTAATGTGAGTTCTTCACAAAGTAGCACACTCTGGCTCTGGCGACAGCACACTGGCTGAGAAGAAAAAAATATTCTCTTAGTGAATTTTATATAATACCTGAGTTAGCTAATACCGTGATCATCATTTCGTATGAGCTGAAGCTAATACCCTGGTAATTAAATATCTACGAGAGCCAGTAGGAACTTCTATTATGCCTGATTCTCTTATCGAAGTACCCCAGAAACTTCAGTGAGAGCTGAAGAATTTAAATTCAAAATTTAAATAAATTATTGTACATGTGCCAGGGTATTTAATTTACAGCACTCCCAGGCTAACAATTCGTTCTAGTTTACCTTGTTTCTTAGCCGCCCTCACACTGCCTCTCCCTCTCCTTCTTTGTGTATGTAATGCACCTCGCTTTGGTATGCCTTGAATGGGACTCATTTTTACAAAAAACCGGGCCGCCACAAACAGCACAAGCAGCAGGAGAAGGAGAAGGAGCAGCAGCAGGAGCAGGAGCAGGAGAGAGTGAGCTAAGACCAAAGCGCCGAGTTGCCGGCACTTGACTTGAAATTTTTCTAGCTCAAAGCTGAATAAAACAGCATCGTCCTTTTCGCCTTTCCTGTCGTTCTAAAAGCATGCAATTGCGTGAATGGAGCCTACCAACAACAACAACTACAACAAAAACCACAACAACAACAACGACGACGACGGCGGCGACGACTTATGAGCTCTGCGGCTTGCCACTGTGTACAATTTCAAAGTACTATTTTTGCGTTTCACCGAAAAAATGCGGCCCCAACAAACATTCTAGATAAAAGGAGAAGAAGAAGAAGCAGCAGAGCTTAGAAGGGAGCCGCGCGGCATGCGGCGGAGCAGAGGAAAACGATTTTGTCGTCAACGAAAGCTTATCATCAGCATCCTATCGCTAGCTCACATTTATTCGCCACTCAGCTGTACCCAATTCCTAATACGCTGCCAAAGCGCGAAAGAGAGTGGATTGGTTTGGTCGTCTAACAGGCCGAAAGAAAAGATTTCTGTGGTTATTTATTTTACTTAAATCATTATTAGTTTCCCTGATTATTTAATTCACATTGAAAACAATCAGATTTTCTTTATTTCATTTTAGCAATCTAAGCAGCTAAGCTCGTAATCTATTATTACAGAGTATCTTATGGTCTTTAACTCGAGCCTAGCTATAGGATTTCTGCTTTGCAAAATGCTTATTCCGTTGATATTAGATGTGACCCAGCCAGCCAGCATATATACCATGCTTCGTCGCATTTTTAATTAAGCCTCGTTTTTATTTCTATTTACATTTGCTTTTTACTCAAACTGTTTGTAAACATAACACAAAATGCAAAACAGCAACAGCAACAACAACAGCAACAATACAATATAAAGAAACAAACAAAATGGTTTAACAGCCTCCTTCAAATCTTTTCGCTGTGGCAACAATTTTTTTTTATTTGTGTTTTTTTTTTTAATTTCACTTTTATTATTTCTATATCTTCAACTTTGCTCATAAAAAGCAAAAGCAAAACACAAGAGCCAAAAAAAAAAAACCTACATATATATTTGATAAAGAATTATTTCGGACAAATCCACTTCAGCTCTTACAGATCAGGAAAACCTTTTTATTTTTTGAAGGTCATTTCTTACTGGTATAAGGTATTTTTATTTTACTTTTTATTAGTATTTGTAGATGAAATGCTGAAACCAGACTGAGACTCTGTGAATATTTATGCTTTAAAGGGTTTAAATTATAAAATACCTATAACTATAATGGAACTGCTTTAACTGATTGCTGTATTTTTTTATTAAATATTAAAGTAGTTTATTACTCTATTAAATATATACAAAATGTAAAAAATACATATTATTTTAAAGATATTTCTGATAGATTTTTACGCTTCAAATATTTCTAATTTTCTCCAACAGTTCAGACTAAGTTATCATATGACTCCTATGGGATCAGATCTTTGCTAATCAAATTATTATTCTCTGCCCATATATCATATTCTTTCATTTCTTTTATAAGCGATTCGCAGTGTATTTTGCAGCCGTTTCCCGTAACTCTTTCTTTCTCCTTTCACAGTCGCATTCCATTTCGCGTTTCCCATTTCCCATTCTATTTATTTTGTAGCTAAGCATTTTTACATTTTCCTGTTTACATAAGCAATTTTCACATGGTTTATATTTTTCTTATGGTAAATAGAAATTTATAAGTGGCATCTATATATCATTTGTAAGCTAGATTTGTGCGCGGGAATTAAGCCAGATAGGCAAAGGCAAAACCTCTCGAGATTGGTTAAGCGAATTCACAAACAGCAAACAACTCTTCAGAGCAAACAACTTTGTTCTGAAGAGCCTCGTTGGAGTAGCTTCATAAATATTACTCCCTGCTTCAATTCGTTGAGGGCTAATGTAAAAGAACAAAATATATATGTATATGCTATGGGTAATATCGATGACTGGCACAGAATTTTTATCTCAATTTAATTGTGGGCTTTATTGTCGTGAATATTCGTAGTTGTGATTCAAATGGAAATGAACGAATTATAATAAAAATATTGATGTATATATAGAAATTAGGTAACTACTAGGAAATTTGTATTTGTATGAAGTATTTTTGTTTTTCTTCGAGTTTCATTGAAATAATTATTATAAGTTCTGAAGAACTCTCTCTATCTATCTATCTCTCTCTCTCTCTCTCTCTCTCTCACTCTCCCCTTCATTAGTCCTACATATCATTTGCTGTTTTGTTAAGAAATGTGCTTGAATCTCTCTCTCATTCTCCAGTTCGTTGTATTTTGTTATTATTATTCTGGTATTACAGAATTTTGTTATTGAAGAGGACTTTTAGATTTGTTCTTCAGTTACTTACTAAGCAACATTATACTACACAAGCCTGTGATTAGATCACATAATAGACTCCTCCAATTATTGCTGAACTCTAATTGAAGTAAATAAAAGAAAAAAGTAGAATATAATATTTGAAAATAATAATACATTAATATAATGTAATTTTAAAAAAACACAATAATTAATTCAATATTTATTCATTTGCTCTTCCTCATTTGCATAGCAATCGCAGATGTAGTTCAGAAACTGCAAGCAGCTGAAGGAAAACGGAATACAACTTAATATCCAGAGCACCAGACGGAAGAGGAATTTTTTGCAAAATGCTAATGAAAACAGCAAAAATGTGCATCTTAACATTTGTATTTGTTTGCGCTGTTTGGGAAACTGCAACAGCAACGCCCACGGCAACGCCCCCAGTAATAACAACAGTAACACCAGCATCAGCAGCAACACCAACACCGACACCAACAGCAACTGCAACAGCAACTTTAACCATAACAAATGACTCGCACAGCAGCCACGGCACCAATGTGGTCAGCTCTTCAGCTATGGATCGAAGCGAAGGAGTAGCGAAAACTTTATCGGAAATACAAATTGGAATTGTGGGTGCTTTGGCCACCTCAACCACGACGTCAACGGCCATGCCCACCACGACGACAGCAACAGCAGCAGCAGCAGCGGAGGCCGCAACAGCAACAGCAACAGCAACAGCAACAGCAACTGCAGCAGCAGCAGCAGCAGCAGCAACTACAGCTGCAACAGCAACACCAGTAACATCAGCAACACCAGCAACACCAGCAACAACAACAGCAACATCCATTTCAAACGGAAATGAAGCAGGCAGACAAATCAGCAATTTCGAGGCTGCAACCACGACCATGGACGGGTATGCAAAGGCTGGCAAAGAAATCTCGACAACGGAAACTACAGCCGCCACTGTGGCGGATGGGCTAATGACGACAAACGTGCCGCCGCTTGCATCGCTGG